AGCCTGCAGTTCCCGGCGGAACTGAGTTCCCCACCAAGCCAAACTGTGCTTGTCTTTCTCATCAGAGTCTACAACCAGGTTAATTGCCCACAGTTAAGTTACAGGACAGCTTTTAGTCAGCAAATTTATTCTTAAGATGTAAGCACAAGAGAAAACATAAAAATAATGAAAGAATCAACATGCATACTCATAAGTTTACCAGAGATCATCCCCAATTTCAGATGATTCTGTTTATTCACTGGGTCAGAAAGAAAGCCCCGACTCAATTTAAATACAGGCTATTTCACTTATCCTTTCACCTGTTGATTTTGGGAGGATCTATTTTGAACCAGTGTCTGTGAGTCTCATTAGATGAAAGGTGGGAAATACCATCCCATAGGACAGATCTAGTCTGCCAAGGTTAGGCACTGGTGGGCCCCCATTCCCCCATATTTACCTGTGCCTCCCCAAGTACAGGGGAATCACAGTTCCCATTGGCCAGGGATCACCATTCCCAGCCATTAGGAGCTGCGATCTCCCATACCTGTAGAGGTGCAGGTAAATATAGTGGCAGCAACCCACCAGGGGCTAATCCTGGTGAACTGCCACTGTATTATTGCCCACCCCTGCATTAGATGATACCTAGTCTCTGGAGGAATTACAACTTGAGTACATTTGCCTAATCATTCCCCACTGGTCTTAATTCCTGGAAGAATGGTATTCACACTCTATCACAGAATTACCTGCAATCCCCAGACAACAATGATACATAAACTCAATATTGTAGCCTCAACCAAAGATATTGTAAGAAGCTGCTTTCTCTCACTGAGGCTCTATACCCTTTCTGGTTAAAGCGTCACACAAACTCATAGTGTTACATATAACTTGTAACTAACAGTGGCTTTGAGCTGCAAAAATAAGGGCCCATGTCTAATCGTAATTCTAGAAGATGTCACTAATAGAGACTTCTCCTGAACTAGATGACATTTATCAAATTAGTCATGCTTATGTTAAGGTGAAACACGGAATTTCCAGAAGATGGGCATTCAGGCAAGGTGGGTAACAGAAGGAAAATAGCAATTGTGAACTGGTGTAGGTGGGAACAAACAACTGGGATGTAGGCAAGGGTTTTTGTGTAGTTATCAGCACAAGCACAAGCACTTGTGGGAAGCAGGCCAGGATGGAGTACAGATTTGGCACCCGGAGCGGACTATAGGTAAAGTGCAAGGCAGATCACAGATAGCTTTAGGATTCTTCAAGATGATTTAAATGAGGGCTCTATCCAGGTAAGGGAGAAAGTGTTAGTGGAACAAACCAGGAGCTTGACTATGGAGGCTGGTTATTCTGATTTTAAAAAGGGTGAGGAAGCTAGTGTGACGGAGTGAGGAGGTGGAATAAGCCCAAAGGGTCTCTGCTGGAGACCTCTGGACTGTGCCACTCCCATTCCATGAAGGGTTCAGTGAAGAGGTCCTCCAAGCAAGCTAGCAAGGCTGCACGGGAAGCAACCAATCACGGCCCAGAAGAGCCATATAAAAAGGAGTGGCAGAAGAGAGCAAGGGGAATGCCTAGCTGCCTGAAGGAACTGCAGCACAACAACAGCTAAATTAATTAATTAGTAAAATGGCAAATTAAAATTGGTGTTTTTAAAACCACAAGATTTAAAAATAAAATGCAAATGATTATGCCTGTGTCTTATATAAGAAGTTTTCCTATACCAAAAACATTAGGCAGTGGTAAAAATTCCACTGAGCAGAGCAATCTGTACTCCCTTCTTTCTCTATTTCTTGGCCAGTATCCTATGAACAAGAGAAACAGTGTTTCCTTGTTCCACTTTTTATGAAGATAATCTCCAAATTCCAGGATATTCTTCTTCCATAGCTTCCCACTATTGTTTGGTAGGCCAGCAGTAATTCAACAATTTACCAAGCAGAAGATCAGAGTTGAAGCAGTAAGCTTGGTTCTTTGTTCCCATGCCAGAAAAGTGGAAACATGCAGCCCTGTGAGAAGTGCTTCCACATACTACTCTCTTACAACCTGTTATCTTGTTTGAGCACAATCATGAACAGCTTTAATAGGGTCAAGAGGAGCCACATCAAACATGCCTCATTGAAAGATGTGTCATTCCAAACGAGGGTTGGTGATGAAGAGAGAAAACAATGATGGGGGAGGGGAGGAATAAAGACTATCGTTCCTCCCTCCCCACTTCCCCAAGGAAAAAGCATCTCATGGCTGCATTATCAACGCATTCTCTCACTACTTTGTAACAAAGAAATTTGGCATTCCAGTGATGGATCTATATACCACCAAAAGGAATGCCCGAATAGCTATTACAAAGGAAGCCCCACGCTGATCCTCTATCGGTAAATTGTTTCACTCTTAGGTTATGTCTACACTGCAATGCTATTTCACGATATTACTAGAGTATCCTGAAATAGCTATCCCACATCTCCACAGCAAGTGCATTTTTTTGGGCTCGCTATTCCAACTTCCCTGTAAACCTAATTCTACAAAGAATCATAGAATACTAGGACTGGAAGGGACCTCGAGAGGTCATCGAGTCCAGTACCCTGCCTCCAACAGTAAGGGACATTTCAGAATAGCGCTTTATTTCGAAATGCTATTTCAAATTAGCATGGAAATAAGATACACCATTTGCATAGCTCAAATAACGTATCTTATTTCAAGTTACAGTGCAGTGTAGAAAAACCCTTAGTAAAAGCAGAATCTCACACAAGGAGACATAATCTCTCCTTTATTCAGATTTCAAAGGGACATTAATTAATAGGGAGGTAACCGAGTGACAGATGATGTGGGAAAAACTGAAGTACCCAAAGCTCTTTTTTCCTGGCTTTCACAGACAAGGTCAGCTCCCAGACTACTGCACTAGGCAATGCAGTATGGGAAGATGGCAGGCAGCCCTCAGTGGAGAAAGAACAGTTTAAGAACTATTTAGTAAAGCTAGACATATACAAATCCATGGGTCTGGATTTAATGCATCCGAGGGTACTGAGGGAGTTGGCAAATGTCATTGAAGAGCCTTTGGCCATTATCTCTGAAAACTCGTGGAGGAAGCGGTCTCGGATGATTGGAAAAAGGCAAATGCAGTGCCCATCTATAAAAAAGGGAGGAAGAACAATCCAGGGAACTATAGACCGGTCAGCCTCACCTCAGTCCCTGGTAAAATCATGGAAGGGATCCTCAAGGAATCCATTTTGAGGCACTTGGAAGAGGGGAAAGTGATCAGAAATAGTTAACATCAAGGGCAAGTCTTGCCTGACCAATCGGATTAGCTTCTATGATGAGGTAACTGGCTTTGTGGACATGGGGAAGTCAGTGGATGTGATATACCTTGACTTCAGCAAAGCTTTTGAAACCGTCTCCCACAATATTCTTGCCAGCAAGTTAAGGAGGTATAGATTGGATAAATGGACTGTAAAGTAGATAGAAAACTGGCTAGACTGTCGAGCCCAATGGTTAGTGATCAATGGCTCGATGTCAGGCTGGCGGTCGGTTTGAAGTGTAGTGCCCCAAGGATCAGTTCTAGGGCTCATTTTGTTCAGCAACTTGAATGAATTGCACCCTCAGCAAGTTTGCAGATGACACTAAACTAGGGGGAGGTGTATACATTGGAGGGCAGGGACAGAGTCCAGAGTGACCTAGATAGCTTGGAGGATTGGGCCAAAAGACATCTGATGAGGCTCAACAAGGACAAGTGTAGAGTCCTGCACTTGGGACGGAAGAATCCCAAGCATTGGTACAGACTGGGGACCGACTGCCTAGGTAGCAGTTCAGTAGAAAAGGACCTGGGGGTTACAGTGGATGAGAAGCTGGATATGAGTCAACAGTGTGCCCTTGT